ATCTTTCAAAAAAACAAGAAAAAAAATTATATATAGGCCACAAACCGAGTTAAGTTAAAATAGGTTCTCTAGTTGTACAAAAAAATAAATAAGTAAATAAAAATTCTCCAGTAGAATCGTGGGTGATTCTTCCATGTCAAAATTAATTTTAGCCATCAAAATGGAGGGCTGCTGATGACTGGCCGCGGCATTATTGAATTTTATTTCTGTCTGCTTAAGTATTTTTTAAAAATATATATAAATATATATATGCGTTTTTCTTTTATTTTTTTTTTGGGTGCTTATGATAAATATCTGATGTCCGATCGACATTACCATTTTTCAGAGATAACAAAAACCTATCGCAAACAATTTTGCTACTAATAGTTAAACATTCATTGGTCACATTTATATTAGTCTGACCAAATAGAGAATAACGTGAAAGACAAAAATGATATACGCATTCGAACATTATGTTGACATTTTCCCTTCAAATTCTTTAAAAAAAAAAAATTCATATTTGAACTATGAGATCATCTTAACTGGCCATATATCATACCTAAATATACTAACCCATGCATGCTTGAGTCGGATAATGCCCTTTTTGACGGTAATAAGAGACTGAAATTCATAACTTTTTTAAAAAATAAATAAATGGATAGCGTTTAGTTGCCGGCATTTTTTTTTCTGCTGAACTTAAATAAAAAAAAAAAAAAAAGGATGATTATGTTGAATCCTGCCGGCGATATTGGAACGCTGCCTAAGAAGACTGGCAGCGACATCCCTTTTCCGTAGATGAATGAAAATTAATTACGTGTATCACTCTAATACTCTATGTTTGTATCGTTTTTCAACATTAGTCAATTCCCTATATTCATGCACATCCAACTCTTTTTCCATCATTATTAAATAAACTATCACTCCATTTGTTACCTTCGCATGAATAAAACAAAAAATAGGTTTTCGTCCCAAAACAAAATAGTCGTGTTTAATTTTCTCAGTTTTTATTTGATTAACATAATTCTAATTTTGTAATTTTTTCTTTTGGAAGGAAAAAAGGATGCCTAGCTCTCCGAACACTATGCATGTGTACTTTAGTATATAGTTGTGCCTCGAAGCCTTTGAATCGAAATCTAGGGGTTTGATTTCGTAAAACTCTGAAGTGGAGGAAAATTTTATTTAGAGTTCGGAGATTGGACAATTACGATTAAAAGTTGTAAGATGATTGAATAATGAAGCAATGCTTATGTATGATATTTGGATGAACGAGAGAAAGTGAAATAAATTAATTATTAATTAAGAAAAAAGAGAGAGAGAGAGAGAGTAGATATAGTGCAGCATAATGGGTGCCGAAATGGTCAAATTAAAAACAAATAAGTTATTCAAAGTTGATTGAAGAAATATGGCGGAGCGTGTGAGGTTGGGTTGATTAGAATCTTGTCTTGGTTATTCCAAATTGTTAGTCCGTACTAGCATTATATTCCTAGCTCCATTCTTCCATTCTACATTCCCATCTTTTATTTCATTCTCAAATTTTTTTAACCTGAAATTCCGTCCTAACTAAAATCTAAATGAGTTCATATAAAAAGGTACAACAAAAACTTTACTATTCCATAACATTTATGATTCCATTTTCACTTTCTATGTGCCTTAATTAATTAGTAGTCCTTTTTTTTTTTCATTTTATGTTTGTTGTGGTGGAGAAAAAAGGATCGTAATGAAAAAAAAAAGAGGGAAATTTTACCGTTTAATGGCATATTTATCGTACTATAAAATAAAATAAATAAATTGATAGGGGGCAAAAGTACTAATATAAAATTCAATGTATATTCTCCAGCTTAAACAACATTGATTCCTTGGTTGAAGTTTTTATCACATTTGAGATTTAATTTACTCGTACGTAGATAAGATAGATTCTCCTCTTGTTGCACTGAAAAATTCCTTTTCAATAAAAGGCAATACAAATTCCCTTTGGTCAAAACTGAACGCTGTTGCTCCCCCGTTTACTAGTAATTACAATAAAATGGGCATGTCAAATTGGACTACCCACTAAGTAGTACCCAAGTCTTTGGTTTCTTATTTCGGCAAATTATTACTCTTACCCACCAGTATTTTGGCTCCAGGCATGGAGACAATGACTACTCCATTTTTATATAGAGAGTATACAGCTAAAATCCACGAAATAATTAAAAAGATTGTGTATCTCTTTATATTAACATTGAAATACGAAACCCATACTCGTTGGATGAGTGTTTGCTGGCAAAATATGTATTTATTTAGTTGGAACTTTTGAGCTATAAATAATGAAATGATGGCAAAATATGTATTTATTTATTTTTATTTTTTTTTGGTTTTGGTTGGTGTACGTTTGCACAATAATGAAGAGACCATTAAGTTTTTAGGAAAATAGCTAGTGATGAAGATAACATGGCATAATAATAGTAGTTAATTGGAAGAAGACCATGATAATATCGAGGGGGATTTTGATGTTATAAAAAAAAAAAAACAAGTGACCTTGCCTATCTCGTTATTATTTGTTTAAAAATGGATCAGATTGGATCCCTGAGATTCAAACTATTGGTTGATTCCTTCAGTAAAGTGACAAATTTTTGAAAAAATATATACGTACAAGAACTAGTATAAAATTAATTAAGTTAGTCACTAGTCACTACTAGTGATTGATCTGGCTAGCTGTTAGAGATCTCTCTAATTAAGCACAAAATTGTTCCCTAATTATCAATTTTGGATCTATATGAAGGTGCCCATTCTGTATGCAAACAAGATTTAATTAACAGCATTATCTAAATATAAAATCTCATTGTCGAAGTATAATGGAGTGTGCTTTTTCCCTCCTCTTTTGTATGAACAGACAAATGAATACTGTTTGGGATCTAAAAGCTCGCAATTAATTTATTTCCTGATATTATTCGGAACAAAATTGAGCCTGCTGCTTTATTGTTGGTACTAAATAGTTTCCAGAATGTAACTAATTTTACTACTCGTTAATTAATAGAATCACTGGCTATTAGATTAGTAAAAAATCATGCCGTCGTGAGACATTAAGGGTCCAACAAGGAATTGCTACATCCATTATTGATAATGAACAATTAGTTCTAAATCCTTCTTTCACTATTTTGATTTTCATGAACTCCTCAAATTGATATAATTTTTTTGGCATTGTAATATAATTCTTTTGGTATTGTTTACCGTTATTCTCTATTAATCAGTAAAATATAAATTAGGCTAAGCAATAACAAAATAAAGCCACTCTGAGTTTTTTGGTGCTTTATACAACAGAATAAGAATATAACAAAAATTCTTGAAGCAATAATACATAATAGGGAGAATTACATTTTACTCCCCGAATTTTGACCCGTTATCAAATCCAACCCTGAGTTTTGGGCATACTACATTTACCCCCTTTGGCGGGGTTAAACATAAAGTCTATGCCGGGAAAATGCCAAATGACCAAAAGGCCAAGACCGTTTCCGATGACAGATTAAAGGAAAAGAATTTAGTTGAAGGTAAAAAAATTCCTGCCCCCTTTTAAGCCTTCTTCTCTCCTCTCCATCAATCTTAATTTCCACCCAATTCATCTTTTGCAATCTATAACATAATCTATGGCTGCATCTCTTACCTAAATCACAATGGTAACCAATTCCCAAATACAAGAAGTCTTCCTATTCTTTTTCTCCTCTCACCCGAGATACTATGACGAACTATATAAATCTCATCCCGTTTTTATCAAAACCCGTTGGATCTTTGATGTGTCGTAGATGATGCAGATCGTGGATGTTAGTTGTTCATTGATTTGAAAGAAGTACGGCATCGAGGAGTTGTTGAACTCAACAAAGTTGTTTTATTGATTTGCTAGCATGAGATTAATATTTCTTACACACCCTGACTAAAAATCTTAACAATTGTAATGATGGGTTGGCTTTTAGAATAGAATGCAGCCCGCATGCTTTTGTGGGATTTGCCTCATTTTCTCCTCATAGAAGTGTTCTTTTTTCTTTTTTTTTTGTGTTCCTGGTAGGAAGGAAGAAATCTTTCTTTTTAAATTTGGTATGCGAATGGAAAAACGACCCGTATAGGAATTTCAATATCAATAAAAACTTATTGCTTTACCTCTTGCTGACGGCTGCTGCTTGTTTGTAGCTGTTTTAAGATCGGAGAGAATCAAAATGAGGACTTTGTTTTTTTTCTCAAATATTATTGTTTAGCTTGATTCTTTGGATATTCGGAAGATTTTTTTCCTTTTTCTTTATTGATTGTAGCTGGTGAAAGAAGGAAGATGGTGTTTCTTAATTCATTTGTTTCATGATTGAAATTTTCTCCGGCTAGTAAATTGTAGGAAGTATGTTTCAAAAAATAAAATAAAGGAAATGTTCCATACACTTAAAAAGGGTATTTAAGTCCGTTTGCACTCAGAATTTGCTGACATCATCATATTACCTCACATTTCCGATGAGCAGGGTTGTATTGGTAAGTTAACCAGCGGTCCAGGGGATAAATGTAGTATGCCTAAAACTCAGGGTTGCATTTATTATCAAGCGATAACTGGGGGGTAAAATGTAGTTTGCCCTAAATAATAATATACTTCCACCATCTCAAGTCAATTATTTCATTTCTTGTACCATTTTTAATACAGCGAATGAGCTAGTAATAGTAGACATTTTATATGTTTATGTATGCTTTGAATGATTCTTAATATTAAAATATAAAAGTACAGTTTTTGATGACTAATACTAACAGATAATTAAACTTAATTTTTTTTTTCCAGGAATATAGTGGTTTAGTTTTCCAATCGGAATGACTATTTTTTAAGTGCGTAGCGCGGAAGTATTCGCGTCATCCCACCACCATATATAATTAATAGTAATAGCCTAATAGGAATAAATTTATTATTCTTTCTTCGGCATTATAGCAGACCATAATTTTATTTTATTTTCCTACATTTTTTTTCCGAAAAAAGAAAAAGACCAAGCTAATGTTTTGTCGTATAGAAATCAAATAAATAGAAGGGATCCCAAATCCAATTGAGAAATTGTTTATGGGATTTGTTTATGCAAAAAATAATAATAATAATAATACTAGTATTAATTTTATTCGCCCAAGTCCCAACAGACACCGCAAGCTAATTATAAATGTTGTCTTTGTTACCAATTTCTACTACTTCTTCCGCCTCTTCCCTCTTCCTCAAAACCAGCCCAGCTTCCCCTCAATTCTGTACTAAATTTCACCAAAAATGGCAGCTTTGGGAACTTTAGGTGCTGCCATTGGCTTAAACCAGGCAACCTCTTCTTACTTGACCACCCCAAAACTCTATTCCATTGGAAAGAAACAGGTAATAATTTTGATGAAATTCTCCAATTTCATTTCCCAAACTCTGTTCTTGTGTTCATCAAAAAGGGTAGCCCATTCTGAATGTTTTGAATGATTCTATGTTTTTTTGCAGTTTTTGGTGAAAGCTTCTGCAAGTAGTTATGCATCAGATGGGTATGAGGAAGGGAAGATGATTATAAAGAAGGAAAAAGACGGTTGGAAGATTGATTTCTCTGGTGAAAAACCCCCAACTCCATTGCTCGATACAATCAACTACCCAATTCACATGAAAAACCTTTCTGTTCAGGTTTCCTAAATACTCATACATAACTCCCTTAAATTAGCTTTCTTTTACTATTCTTCATTTCTGTTGAATTTCGTTTAAACTGGGGTGTTTTTTTTTTTTTTTTTTGGGTTGTGATTTGAACGTTCAGGATCTTGAACAATTAGCAGCAGAACTTAGAGCGGAGATCGTATATGGTGTGGCTAAAACAGGAGGGCATCTTAGTTCAAGCTTAGGAGTAGTGGAGTTAACTATTGCCTTGCATCATGTTTTCAACACCCCAGATGACAGGATCATTTGGGATGTCGGCCATCAAGTAAGCATTTTTCTATCATTTCACGTCTGTAAGATAATGAAGAGCAGTAACTTAGTAGATTTCTTTTTATGGTGATCCTGAATTGTGAATACAGGCGTACCCGCATAAGATTCTGACTGGAAGAAGACATAAAATGCAAAGCATAAGGCAGACAAATGGACTTGCAGGCTTTCCCAAGAGAGATGAAAGCGTCTATGATGCTTTCGGTGCCGGCCATAGTTCCACCAGCATTTCTGCTGGACTCGGTATGTTTGTTTGGATTAGCACATAAGTTAATCGGCCAAAATTCCTCACTTACATATAAGAACAAGATTACATTTTTGTCCTTTAGAAAACGATATCAGTCAATTCATAGCTCTTTAAGATGGTACAAAATTTTTATCATTTCTTACTCTTGTTAGATCGTCATTTCCCATCAAATGTGTCAACTAAAATCCTTGATCCTTAGTTCTGGATTCTTATGAATTGAACTAGATGATATGGTCACGTGATGATGGGTTGAGGAAAAATAACTATGTTGCTAATGAGTGCTGGAAAAGTTTAGCTTTTTAACCATGAAGTATATGTTATTATCCTTGTGATGGATGAAAAGGTAGCTTTGATCATTGTGAGTTACGAGCTTGTTGATTAACTCTTTGTACCTTAACATTTTACACCCCATATTGCTGATTTCTGTGGTGCAAGGTCTTAAAAACGAATAATTGTTCTTCACAGGTATGGCTGTTGGAAGAGATCTTCTTGGAAAGAATAACAATGTCATATCTGTAATTGGAGATGGTGCCATGACAGCCGGACAAGCATATGAGGCCATGAACAATGCTGGTTTCCTTGATGCTAACCTGATTGTCATATTAAATGATAACAAGCAAGTTTCTTTGCCTACTGCAACACTTGATGGCCCTGCAACACCTGTTGGAGCACTTAGCAGTGCTTTGACCAAGCTCCAAGCCAGCCCCAAATTCAGACAACTCCGTGAAGCAGCCAAAGTAATTGTCAAAGCTTAAAGGCCCTTTTTTTTTTTTCTAGATTTTTACTCAATAGTCAAAGTTTTGATTCATTTTTCTATCTAAATAGAGTATCACGAAACAAATTGGACCACAAGCGCATGAAGTTGCCGCTAAAGTGGATGAATATGCACGAGGAATGATCAGTGCTTCTGGATCTACTTTCTTTGAGGAGCTGGGGTTGTATTACATTGGACCAGTTGATGGGCATAATCTTGAAGATCTAGTCACCATTTTTGAGAAAGTCAAAGCTATGCCAGCACCAGGGCCAGTTCTTATTCATCTAGTGACAGAGAAAGGAAAAGGCTACCCGCCTGCAGAGGCAGCTGCTGATAAAATGCACGGTGAGTCATCTGCTCAGTATAATCTTACTATTATATTTAGTATAGTATAGTCCTATTTGCAAGATGACACTTTGTACTGATCATTGATTATATTGGTTTCAGGGGTTGTGAAGTTTGATGTAAAAACAGGAAAGCAACTCAAGACAAAAGCCCCCACGCTTTCATATACACAGTACTTTGCTGAAGCTCTCATTAAAGAAGCTGAAATTGATGACAAGGTTGTCGCGATCCATGCTGCTATGGGGGGTGGGACTGGTCTAAACTATTTCCAGAAGAAGTTTCCAGAGCGATGTTTTGATGTGGGAATTGCTGAACAGCATGCTGTCACTTTTGCTGCGGGTTTAGCCACTGAGGGGCTCAAGCCTTTTTGTGCAATTTATTCATCATTTCTTCAAAGAGGATATGATCAGGTGAGACTAAATCAAGCAATTTTTTAGTGATTTTGAAGTCATGTTCATTTCAGAAACTAACAAACTTTCTACTTGATGATGCATAGGTTGTACATGATGTAGATCTTCAGAAATTACCTGTGAGATTTGCTATGGATAGAGCAGGTCTTGTTGGTGCAGACGGACCAACTCATTGTGGAGCGTTTGATGTTGCTTACATGGCTTGCTTGCCTAACATGATAGTCATGGCTCCAGCTGATGAAGCCGAGCTCATGCACATGGTTGCTACTGCAGCAACCATTGATGACAGACCAAGTTGCTTTAGGTTTCCAAGAGGCAATGGTGTTGGTGTTCCACTCCCTGCCAACAATAAAGGAACCCCCATTGAGGTTAGCACTAAAAAATAGCTTGTCTTTGAGAAAAGAGATGTAAACCACCTCAGATTCCAAATTATAATAATAATCTTATTGTTATCTTTATGAACAGATTGGAAAGGGAAGACTTCTTAGGGAAGGGAGCAGAGTTGCGATCATCGGTTATGGCTCTATAGTACAGGAATGTTTGGGAGCAGCAGAAATGTTGAAATCCCACAACATCTCACCAACCATTGCTGATGCAAGATTCTGCAAACCATTGGATGCAGACCTTATTAGAAGATTAGCAAAAGAGCATGAAATACTAATCACAGTTGAGGAAGGTTCGATTGGGGGTTTTGGATCACATGTAGCTCACTTCCTAAGCCTAAACGGTATTCTGGACGGACCCCTGAAGGTATAAAATCTTTTACTGACTTTGCAGTAATTTTTACCTCCTTAATTTGAACAGATTTTGATGATGATTTTTGGAATTTGGTTATGCAGTTGAGATCAATGCTACTTCCGGATAGATACATTGACCATGGATCCCCAGCAGATCAAATCGAACAAGCTGGACTATCGTCAAAACACATTTCTGCAACAGTTTTGTCACTACTTGGGAAACACAAAGAAGCTTTTCAACTCAAATAGAGATTTTAAATTAGTACATTAATTAAGCATTACTATGTGTAGCACTATGTGAGATCATGATGCCTTGATTTAATTTAGAGCCCTTCTTTAGGGTAGGAAAGGACAGCACATTTGTTGGTTCCATGGAAGAATATAACTTCTGGGATTGGACAATGCTGCTTCAGGGAATCAATGAAGTTCAAAGGAGGACTGTTTTTTTTTACGTGCCTAAGAAATGCATCCACCTGGGACCATCTCTTAGGCCTAATATGTAATGACCTCAAACTGTTTGTGCATATAAGATATAACAATAAGGTGGTTTGATTTTTTACAGATGATCTATAGCCTCAAGAAACTACTACTACTACTGCCTTTTGAGTATGAACTAAACAATGGCAAACCTTAGCGTCATATTGCAATAAGACATTAAAAAGGTCTTTTAGGGTTACTCCAATGATACGCCAGAACGAGGTGGATCTTCATTTTGTTAATCATCTAAACTATGTCCTAACCTTAAATGCTTAAATCCCAAATGAAAAGTGTTAAAAATGAATGGTCATGATCAATTCCTTATCATTTTTCCTTGTCATTTTTTCCCTTTACATAACAACAAATCATAGTGTGAGGTTGATGTGTATTATAATCCATAATCGTAGTTGATCAATACACATATTTATATTCAAATTTAAAAATTTCTATTCATTTTTTATAAATTTTTTTATGTCAAATATATTCTTCTTAATTTGAGTTTTTAATATTATAGTTTTTAACCTTGTAAATGGGACATTCACAAGTCTTTTACGCAGATACTTTTAAGCCTGATAATCTCATTTTGCTCATAAGACTACAAAAGGTACAATACATGAAGAAAAGAAAAACACAAAATATAAAGGGGGGGAAAAACAAAGGAAATGACGATGGCACAAATGAAATCACTAGTGAAAAATCTGAGAAAGGCCTCATTCTAACCGAGTCTAATCCAGCCTAAAAAAAGCCCAACCCAACAATTTAAAGGTAAGGTAAGCCAGCTAAAATAGTCATTTCAATATCTAGTTGTTTGTTGCGTTTATTTTCTCTTAATCACGTTTCTATATTGAGCGTAACTATGGTGATTTATAGTAAATCTCTTTGACTGAATATTAATTTTCATTGAGACCAAAATGGTCCCGATTGTGTGTCTTATATCTGATAAAAAAACCATGAGTTAGGGAATTGAATAGAAAATTCTTATAAGAATTTTTATCACTCAACTCCGCTACTTCTCCACTTATAAACTTTAACAAATTTTCATCAACCTTCTCTTCACCATTTTATACCTGATATTGGATTCAATTAAAATGAGTGTAAAATGAAATTCTATTCGAACTGAATAAGAGATACATTATAGAGAAAATAATTAGGCACCATTTTTTACTTTAATTCGCTTATTAATTTTCTCTTTGTCTGATGAAATTTATGACGTTTTGGAATGGAGGGAGAATCTATCTTGATTCCCAAAAGTTAGTTTGTCAAAAGGATGATTTCATTAGACCGACTTCCTTCATATATTAGCTAAAAGATTAATCAACACCTGCAAGTTTCGTGTCTCCAAAAATAAATACTACTGTAATAATTATATACTCCCTCCGTCCCATAATTATTGTCCAGTTTGAGTTTTTATTTTTAGTTCAAATTATACTAAAAATGAAATCTCAAACTGCACAATAATTTTGGGGCAGAGGGAGTATTTATTAAAAAAGAAAACTCTCGAAAAACTTTTGCTGAGTCTTGCAGCAGACTAATTTACTGTGACAAAATAATCCCGATACAGCTTCAGTTTGTAGTGGCTCCTCCCCCAAATAAGTAATCACTTGAAAAACAATCGAGGCTGAAAAACACAAGCAAGAACGTTTAAGCTCTGTACTTCGCTCAAATGGTAGACTCAATTCAAAGGTCTATTGTCTACGCAAATGGTCAACAGTAGTTTCAAACAGCTTCGTAATGTACAATTCCATCTATTTCTAGGATATGGAGGACCAAATGAGCATGAACACTGGAATGGTAAAAATCCTGTGAATATAATCAAACGCCAATAAATGCTTGAAGTAAACTCTGCGCTACAAAAATGCTTTCTTGCGTCCCAGATATGATCACTTTTCCTTCACTTCTTCCACGACAGGGATCTTCCACCGTCACTTTAGCACCAGAAATCTGATAATAACAAGAACCGAAAAAACAACATTGTCAAATAACATTTGATATAGAAGAACAACATCACCAGAATTTCAAACATAAGCAAACACAGTGAAAACTGATGGGAATGTATTTCAAGTTTTCTGGGTAAGGCTGAGATTCTAGTCTCCATATGTAGTTAAAAGTTTAAAGATACCTCATTAACATATGTCAGATGGCTCTGGTTCATAGAATAAGTTACACTATCATTCAAATTAGATGAATAGATTTGCGCGAAGGAAGATAACTTCTTCTACCACTAAAATGCTGGATCCAGCAATTCTTCACCTTTTTCTTAGATGATCCAGTAGAGAAGCTTAGTTGGAATTATGAGGGTTTACCTCAATGATTCGGGTCAGATTGCTTCCATTTTCCCCATAAACGTTAGCAAATGCTTTTCCTGGGACAAGAATCTCAAGAGTCGGGATCACCACAGCGTCTGCGACATTACTGCACAACAGAGCAAAACGAATAAGAAAAGAAGCATGGCTCCAGATGAATACGCATAAATGCACCTGCAGACAAATTCAGATATTACAAAAAGTGCAGGCAGATGGATGAACAAGAGTTTCTTGTATATCAGCAGTTATTCTTATTAAGAAATTGTATATCAGCAATTAAACAGCTAATTTAAACTTAAAAGTAGGTTACCAAAATCACTATGATTCCAAGATGTCTGTCTATATAACTCTTGATGCAAAGATAGAAGAAATTTTATTTGAGCAGGGCATTCTAGCGGACCTGACAAAAGTCAGATCACAATTTCTTATGCAAAATGTAACCAGAGTCAGAATCACAGGAAAGGCAATCATCTTCATCCAAGCAGCAACAACTATTAGATAAAAAGTAAAGAGGACGTAATCCACCATCCATCGGGTGAATTTAGAGATACAAGGAAGAAATACTATATTATAAATAATATAAATGATGATATTACTTTGTAAATTCTGACAGTTTCAATCGGGATTGAATCTTATTGGTATTGAGGACCTGGAAGACTGGAAACACAGAGAAACTACCAATTCATGATAGAAAAGTGACCTTTTCTGATGAACAGCTTTTCCATTCCTATTCTTTGCACGATCCTTAGTGTTTCTAGCTTTCCTCATGTCCTCAAACTGCAATTGAAAACATGTACAATGCCATGGTTAAGTCAAACATATGCAGGAAAGCAATCAAAAGATGAAGAATACCATGCAAGAAGGACAACTACCTGCTCATGTGGCAACTTAGGTCTATGAAAACTATTTTGGAGCGCAAACCCTTGACCAATTTGATTAAGCTCAGCTGCGTTTTCTGATTGCGGAGTGGAACATTTCACCAAAGGACTGCTAGATGGTGTTGCGGAATGTCTGGGAACTGTTTCTCCAGGCGCTGAGCTAGAGAAGAAGTTATCCCTCAGTCTACCAGTAACTTGAAATAGGGCACTTTTAACCTTTTCGTACTCACCTACAATCTGTGAACAGAATGTTCACAAGTTTCCATTAAAAGGTTATCTAGACCATAATATACTTACTACTGTCAATGAGTCATCACAATTCATAATAGTTTGGTACGCAAACAACAATTTTAAGTTGCACAACTCTTGGGTCAATTTTGGTTTAAATTTGCAATATAGCCAACCATCATTTTCGGGGGAAAAAAATAAATAAATAAACTAAAATAAAAAATCAAAATTAAACATAGGAATTCATCAGATCTAAGATAGTAAGACTTCGTACTCTCAACAAATCTAATAGACTCGTGAAGACAAATCATTATAACTACTTCATTTCTCATCAGCTCAATGATCGAAAAAAGAGGGAGATTGATTCGCATACCAGAACTACTTTATCATTGGCTGAATGGCCATTTGGAGCATGTTTTGGTTCCAATAGCTGTATTTTAACAGAAAAGGTGGCACTTATGTCTGAAGCAATTCTTCCTCCATCATCCTTCAGGCATTTGATTTCATTTGGTGTCACTAAAATTCGAGCATTGACAGTTCCACTCCCACTCAAATCAGATAAGTACCCCTTCTCAGGGTCGACCTCCACTGATCTGGCAAAAACAAGAACTATGGCATTTTGTGCGGAAGAGACTGAAGAATCTCGGCCCTATAAAAATAGAAACATTAAACATAAAGAGAATTAGAGAGAACGGCTAGCAGGCCAATCAAGGAACAACAAAGGTTCGTGGTAAACCTCCATTGAAGAAATAGTGGCAATTCGATCCTTCAACCCAGCTGCAGGAGATGAAAACTTTATGGAAGCACCAGTTTCTTTCTCCAATTCTCTCACAATAGATGCACCCTTCCCGATTACACCTCCCGCAGAAACATTAGAGCAGAGCAACTTAAACACGACATTTCTCTGAGCACTTTCATTGTCAAATCTCATAATGTTCTGCACGTCTTCCGCTAAAGAACTGCTAAAAGAAGAAAAATCACTTCCGGGAACAGATTGTGGCATATCATAATTTTCAAGATAATCTGCTTGTGGGTCTTGAGACTTCGGATGAGGAGATAAATGTGATTTTTTCCTTTCCACGGGTAGTTGGCAAACTTGAAGACAATGGGAGACAGCCACTAATGCTTTCTTTACGGCCATAACATCACCTGTAATCTGCAACAGGACTACTAAATCTTTATCCTTATATATGCATACGATGCTAAACTACACGGGAGAAAAATTCACTTCGATAAGCCAAAAGTCAATTTCTTTGTTTCATAAATATAAGAAGCAGCTTAAAAATCCCCGAATCAACTACAACAACAATGAGGATAACCAAAAAATTATCAATGTAGATCATAATTTTACCACACATTTGCCCAAGTATGTTCAAATAATTTAGGTCTCTGTTTTTACACAACAGCTTAGTGGACATCTAAGCATTTAATTTGAGTAGATAAGTTTCAGTTTCCAAACATCTCGAATTAAGTATCAAATAGCTAATCTCTACTAAAAACACAGCTTCCTACCTAGAACATGCTATTGTTTCTCCCCTAATAAATGAAAAAGGGTATATACTTCAACTGTAACAACAGAAAATTCTGGTTTGTAGACTGGTCCTCACAGCTCACATGACTGAAGCTGATCTAACTGCGTGATGGTTCAAAAGACTGTAAAGTGGAACAAAGACACACTTAAGCCCTAAGTTTACATGAGAATCATGGCAGCATCCATACAAAACGAAAAAGGAATTACCTGAATTAACTCTTCCCCAGGCCCGGCACAAGATGGAGTCTGATCCTTGTTCAGCACCCGTATTTTGGCCCCAGAATTTTTCTGCATCTCTAACACAATTTTGCCTCCTTTGCCCATAACGCCTCCAACTTGACCCAAACCGGCTAGTAATCTACAACCGGTAACACCAATTGACTCATTTTTTTTAACCTGTAAAATCCTTTCGAAAACCCTCATTAAGCCCGACTGCGCCGACGAAACCTCCATCTCTAGACATTCCCCGGCCCCGTGATCATCTCCCAATTGGGGGGGCCATCCACCCAAGTCTTCATTCTCATTCCTTAGTTTGATTTTTCTGTCTATGGAGGCGTCGCCAATGACGTTAATCACGCGCTCGTGACAGTTAGGCAGGGGCTCTTCGAAGCGAATTCTGCAGCCCGTTTGGGTTTCGAGCAGTTTAATCAAGTGGCCGGAGTTTCCGATCACGCCTCCTGCTGTGTCGACGTGGCAGAGGATGCGGAAGATAACTGAACCGGGATGAAGTGGTGCTTGTCCATTCCCACCTTGCTTGGGGGCTTTTCGGTTCGGATTTTGGGGGCGCCGGTGGTGGTTGCTCATTTCGAGCTATCGGTTAACTGATGATTCAAGAGTGTGAGAGAGAACCCCGAAACTACCTTACGTAGCTTCCTGCAGGTAGAATTGAACCTCCTGAGCTGGCATATCTGAGAGATGAAAGTGGCGGCGCCGCGGCGGCGCTGGTAGTGGTGGTGGTTCCGAGCCTTCAGATCAACTTATGAAGAGAATGATGACAAGTCCGGATTCCGGAGTGGACTTAAGGCCTTAAGGGGCTGTTTGGAATCGCGTTTTGTCTCTTTATTTTTTCCCTGTTCTCCTATTTCTTGTATTTTTATTCTACTTTAAGTTCTTTTGAAAGAAATGAGTAATTTTTATGTTGTCTAAATCAAGAAAATATCGAATGAATACAGGAAAAAACAAACATTTTACATACGTTCTGTTAGTAAAGTTGGGTATTTGGAACAAAAGTCGTAGATGTGTAACCAAACAATCCATCATTTTAACTAACTCGGTTTTGAGTGTATTTGCTTAATGAGGACAGAATACCTAATGGGGAAATTTTAATTTTTCTAAATGATTACTCCATCCGTCTCCAACTAAAAAATATATTTGTCATTCTAATTTAATTGATCAAATAGTGTGTGTTTTTTTTAAACGAAGGAGGCCTATGCCTAAATAGTGCCTTTTGTTTTTGGGTTGGATTGGTTATATTTAATTCTCACCTATATAATCATTTTAATTTGCGGGGAGAAGAAAAAAACAAACATAAGTCAATCACACCATTACTTAGCGTCCATATTCTTTTCCCAGAAGAAGAAAAAAAAAAAAAAAAAGTAAAACCATTTGGTTTGGAAGATTCGCCTCTAAGGAAGTATATGCAATCTATATGTGATTCCATATTCTTTGAGTGTGGGAGATGGAATTTAATCTTAACTAGTTTCAATTCTTTGAAAAATGAGGAATAAGACACAATTGCACATTACATAGTTACATTGGATTATTTGATTATGCAAGTGAGAAAATGTTTTACTACTCTTTTTACGTGTGTTCTTTTGATCCAATAAAAATTTAAGCTTACATTAAAATAATACCTTGAATATAAAGGAGTATTACGTCCAAATAATGCAACCAACAAGATACCTGTTTTTTTTTCCTCGATGCTCCTTTGTCTTAAAAATCAGAATTTAATAACTCATTGTATTGATTGAACTTTGAGCTATTTTTTGAAGAATATATATATATATATATATATATATATATATGTAGTAAGTATAACTCTTAGTTGGACACGAATCCCACGTGAATCAAATGTTTTTGCCTTTTATCTTTTTGAAAATGGTGATCATATAGTTAGTTCAACATGTGAAACATTCATCTTTTTTCTTTATCGGATGCTAAAAATGTGAACACTCTAGATTGGCAACATAAGGGCATGAAAACCTTAAATTCATCAATTTTTTTTTTTTGGGGGAAACCAATTTTTATACTGCTCATTAATCTTTGGCCTTTAAAATTTAATTTATTTTTTTTTAAAAAAAAAAACTCCATGCAGAATGGATTAATTATTAGGACCCCTAAAACGCTTGATGTCAAGCCTAGGAAACAAGAACGATACTAAATCACATGTTTAGATGTCACGTGGACGTTATTATTATTTGCTCTTGGCTCTTTAAAGGAGTTATTATTATTATTAGCCATGTACACAGAATATTTCCTTTTCGCTAAAATATAATCATTGTTGCAACTAATAAAAGCCTAACTAACTAAATTGATAGTAGTATAAAACTTAAAAGTGATACTTACTCCTTCCGTTCTATAATTATTATCCAGTTTATTAAAAAAATTTAATCCCAAAATTATTGTACAATTTGACTTTTTATGGATTAAATTACATATATGCCCTTTATTTATTAGAACCGTTTTACTAGTCACACAGAATCACACTCTTCATCTATAAGAAGACAACGCCGGCGTCTCCCCTAAGCGTCTCTGACGACGTCGGCTTGGAAAATGCAGCTGGACAATATCCAATTTAGGTTCATTCAAGAGCAGTCTGTTTGTCCCCGTTCAGATGTCTGGCGGCGACTTCTTCGAGATTGGCGAGTTAACATCAATTAAATTTGGGGTTGTTGCAGTGGTGGCGGCCGGCATGAAGGATAACAATAAGAGTCCGAAGGGAGACCGTGGAGGAGTGAGAAATTGGGGCTACCGATGGTTGGAGGATGGGAAATTGGGGGGCCGGTGGTTGATGAGGGGAATTCTGAAGATAATTTGGGGGAAATATGGTGGGTTTGGCAACAGGGAGAAGAGTGTACATAAGGGTATATTTGGAAAGTTGACTAAAAATATAGTTAAGTTTAATTAAAAATAAATTCTTCCATCTTAGTTAAACTGGACAATAATTATGGGACGGAGGGAGTAGGAAAAAAAAAAAACACAAGCACAACAGTGATCACATATCGACATATTCCGTGCCGATGTTGAATTGATCCACAATATTGTGTGGCGTATAAAAAAGTCTAGTTCGTAGTTATAAAGAAAACGAAATTTTGAGCACAAAACTCAAAGGCAAACCATAATTTCAGTTTTCAGATTGTTTGGGACCAAATTCCAGCCATGTCCAACGAAAGAAAGCTCATGCACATAGTAATGTTTCCATGGTTGGCCTTTGGGCACATGATCCCATTTCTAAACCTATCCAAGCTCATTGCCCGAAAAGGCCACCGGATTTCCTTCATTTCCACCCCCAGAAACATTGACCGCCTCCCTCCTCCGCCACCAGCTCTGTCACACCTTCTGAACTACGTCAAGATCCCGCTACCCGGGCACGACGTCGTCCCGGACTTCCCGATAAACGCGGAGGCCACCTCGGATGTTCCCTACGATAAGGTCGTGTACCTCAAACTAGCTTATGATGCTCTCCAGCAACCCCTCACCCAATTCCTCCGACAAACTTCACCCGATTGGATCTTCTTCGATTTCGCTTCTTATTGGTTGCCTTCCGTCGCCTCGGAACTCGGGATTCCCTCGGCTTACTTCAGTATTTTCACTGCATCGGTTCTTGGGTTTTCCGGTTCTGTTCAAGTTCTCAAAGGCGATGATTCTGAGAAGCAGCCCAGAAAAACACTGGAAGACTACACCGTGAAGCCAGAATGGGTTCCTTTCGAAACCAGCGTTTGTTTCAAGATCTACGAGATTACTAAAATCGCCGATTCGGTCATCACAAGCCCAGAAAACACCGTTTCCGACATTTTTCGCATGGGAAGTTCCATCCAAGGCTGTGATATTGTTGCGGTGAGAAGCTGTTGGGAGTTTGAACCGGAGTGGTTGAAACTCTTAGAACAAGATCTTTACCGGAAACCAGTGATTCCGGTTGGCCAACTGCCCACCGTAGAAGAAGAAGAAGAAGCAGCCGATGAGAGTAAGAATACTGTGTGGAGAGGTTATAAAGAGTGGCTGGACAAACAGGGAAAAGGATCGGTAGTTTATGTTGCTTTCGGGAGCGAGGCGAAACCCAGCCAATCTGAACTCACCGAGATTGCACTCGGTTTGGAGCAGTCCGGGCTGCCGTTTTTCTGGGCCTTGAAGCTGAAACGTGGGGACTGGGATACCGAGACGATTGGGCTTCCCGAAGGTTTTGTGGAACGGACGAAAGACAGGGGAGTGATTTGTACGAGTTGGGCTCCCCAGTTGAAGATACTGAGTCATGACTCGGTGGGCGGATTCTTGACTCATTCCGGCTGGAGTTCAGTCGTGGAATCCATACAGTTTCAGAGGCCTTTGATTATGCTCACTTTTTTGGCTGATCAAGGCCTTAATGCTCGGTTGTTGGAGGAAAAGAAAATTGGATATCCAATTCCAAGGGACGAGTCTGATGGGTCGTTTACCAGAGATTCTGTGGCCGATTCACTGAGGATGGTGATTTTACAGGAGGAAGGGAAAATCTACCGAGATAAAGTGAAGGAAATGAATGGCATCTTTTGTGATGGAGGTAGGCAGGACTTTTACGTTGAAAACTTGTTGGCATTTCTTCAAAGTTACAGTAGAAATTAATTGTCAGACTTTGTGTACTCCACCAAAAGTTTGACGCTCACTTTAATTTGTGCTTCCTCCATCGATGATTCCTCCCACAATAAATTCTACTCGTAGAAAAAAAAAAATGTCTTTATGTATTTCTAGAGTGAAAAAAAAATAAAAAGTGAGAATCGACTAGCTCAAACATCTCAGGCGGAAATGTAACATTTTAAAGAAATTTTAAATTTTACTAGATAATAGTATTGTATATGTGTTGAGTCAAAATCATATGTCATATGCATCTTTGATTTTGACTGGGTTCACAAAAGAATTCTTTTTTCACTTAGAATTGTTTTCCCGAAATGGATCATCCTTGGTGCACAATGTGTTCGTAAATTGGGAGGAATCATCAAATTACGTTTGTCGGCCCAAAATTATTGGTTGCAAGTACAAGTCCGCCTAACATATAAAATACAAAAATATCCTTATTTATGATCTATAAAACTCATCATAAATTAATAAAAATTCATTATCAACATTGTTTCATTTTCAATGCAGAACAATATTGAAAAAAAGGGGGTCAAATATACTTCGATTTGTAAAAACTACATATGTTAAAAAAATTATTAAAACCTAAAACGACATATAAAAAAAGAATAGAGGGAGTATTATGTATATATACTATAGATGATGACAGATGATTATAGATCCGGCGCGGCCACCGCCTCGTCCTCTTTTTTATCTAAAGAGTTTAATATTGTTCTGCCCTGTTTTCCGCTAAGGCATCATATGTCCTTCGTTCTATGCTCTCGAATAATTTGAGCTATATCTTGTTATCTATAGAGTTTAATATTATTCGCTCAAACACTTCAGGCGAACCGTATACACTTCGTGAAATATAACATTTAACGAAGATTTCAAACTTTAGGTAATATTGTGTATGTGTTGAATTTATGTATTACGAGTTTACGACCTACGATCCCTAGTTTCATATATACCCTCCAATGCCAGACTTGTTAGCAACCAAATTGTATGCATCTTCGATTTTAACTTGTTTACGAACCGTTTAAAAAAAATATTTAAGAAAACAATTCATTTTTCACTTGGAATTGTGGTTGTTGCGGATTTGTGCGTACAGAAAATACTCCATGTAGCGGCTGCAGCTGCACATATCACTAGCATGATGTGGTACAACAAACCAATCTCGAAATTACACGTGTACTGTTTTATCATATAACAAAAACTATTAGTAATTCTTACTTAATTTCTCTTCCTAAATCATAAAAGCCTTAAATGTTGATCCCACGTATTTCTAATTCACGTCGTTTCTCCAACCATCGATGCCGGCTTTGAAGCTCTTGCTATGACGATGAATCAAGCAAGATGAAGGAAAACGAATATCAAATTTTGTTTCCGCTAAATTCTGCAACTCGTTTAGGTTTCTTTAGTCCAGAGATATCTTTCAACTATTCTTTTAAGAATCTGGATGATAATCAATCTGATCTCCTTGATCGCTCAATCCTCAATCATCAAACTCCAATTTTATTTTTTTTTTCGGAGAACTCTTTCAATCGCATCTTCAATACCAATGAAATTCCATTAGGAACCAAGGTAAGAAGTACTTCATCATCGAATCAATGAATTTTTTCCTCCTAGGATGTAACTGATGAATTTTTAAAAGTCATTCTAATTGTTGGTCTGTTACGGTTAAAAATGGCCAGAAGGTCATTTTGGATTTTAAAGCAAAATAAAAAGAAATTTATAATTGAGGGTTGAGAGTTGAGGGATGAGGGTTGAGGGATGAGGGATGAAGGAGGCCATATATGAAACTGGAGCGGTGGCGACCATTGTTGGTGGAAGAAAGGAAAAATTCGGGATCAAATGAATGTGGGATAGACATGGTCAGAAGCCATGTGTCCCATTACGAGAGCAGATCGTCTGTCCAGAGCTCTTCTGTATTATTCTGTCCAAGACGCAAAACCGCGTCGTTTTGACAAAAAGGGGCCGGACCTCCTTGTCTTTGATCCTTGTTGGGCCTGGGCATCTTTTTTACTTTTTAACCTCTATTTTGCCTATTTATTTCTTTTTTTTTGCATCATTTATTTATTTTTAATTGTGAAGCGTACTAAGGAAGCTTTGAAAACTAAAAAGCAATCCTGATGCACCAAAAACCTTTCACTTCCATTGTTCGCCAAAATTATACTTTCATCTCTGGCATCCTCTCATCAATGCAAGGTGTTTTGAGGTATGAACGGTATAAATCTTTTATATTGTACCATGATTAAATAATTTGGCTGTAAACTCGACATCAATCAAGCTAAACTAAACAACTCCAAAATCAATAGTGAGGCTCAAGATCAAACAAAATTACAACTTCTATTTTGTCCATACAACTATCCACATATTCTTTCAGCACCACACAGGAAACCATGTGCAAACATCCCAAACAAACAAAAGGAAAAGGAATTTAAACCCCGTAAATGAACATATGAAAGTGGAATTCTTCCCATGATGATGGAGGTCAGCGTACTTGTATCATTGAAAATCAAATGAAGAGAAATTGCTCAACTATAAATATCTTTTGTTATGCACTAAATATGGCATATAATCTGAACCACGAACGACCAATAGACGAAGTCTCGTAATATGATCATTGCAGCAAATCTTTGCAGTCGAGTGCATGCTGTGATGAACACACAACACCTACAAAAGAAAAAAAATCGTATGATTCAAAAACAGAGAATAACAACTTGAAATTAAGGCATTGTCAACACGATTCAAAAACAGAGAATAACTTGAAATTAAGTCATTGTCATCCATATCCACTTTAATTATATGTATGAACCCGGATTGTAAGAACAGATAATAAGAAGCGCACCCGTACGATTCTAAAAGGAAAAGAAAAAAAAACCAAAAAAAAAGATTAAACTGTATAAATGGTCCCTTACATTTGTCCGAATTTAAATTTTGGTCCCTTACATCAACATGTATATGGATTGAGCCTTTACATTTTATTTTGAAACTTTTTTGGTCTCTTTTCACTGTTCCGTCACTATTTCCGTCTTGATGACCGTTGACCCTACCAAATCAAGGGTATTTTTGAAATGACACATATAAGATCAAAATAGCAAATGTTTAAATGATTCCCAACATTTGTCCGAATTTAAATTTTGGTCCCCTACATCAACATGTATATAGATTGAGCCTTTACATTTCATTTTAAAACTTTTTTGGTCTCTTTTCACTGTTCCGTCATCATTTTCGTCTTGATAATCGTGACTCTACCGGAATGACACATATAAGATCAAAATAACAAATGTTTTTATAATAAAATATTAAAAATTATTATTTTATAATAAAAAAATTAAATAATTTAAAAATAAAATTTGCGCATAAAAAACCTGCACTCGGTGAGGCAACATGTCCGGCATATGAGATTGGGGTATGTCACCTTGGTATTTACAAGCACTTCATTCGGATCAATTTGGACGGTGACTTTCCAGTTCCACCGATCAATAATCGGTGGACTAAGGAACATCAGCCTAGCGTTGCTGGTTGGGAATTACCACTTCTTCCTAGAATTCAAGATTGGTATAGGTTGGTCCCCTCCAATCCTCGACGACCCGTGAATTATGATAATGATTTCATTGATCTTAGTTTCTTAGATTAGATCCATGTAGGTTTGTTTGTTGTGATGATGATAATGGTATTATCTAGTATCTAATTTGTTTGGTTTTTATGATTTGTGCAATAACAAACCTTGTTGGCCATAAAAAAAAAAAAAAAAACCTTACCACACGGACACCAAATAAGCTAACTAATCTATAACACACAATTTACGCATAAAAAAAAAACTAAATGCAGTCCAAGAAACAGAAAAACAAACAAATCCAGTCCAATAATACGACAATGACAATGATCATGGGGCCTTGTAATAACGGATCATCGTATCATGCAGCTTCTCATCATATTCGTCAGCTAGGTCGCGATCGGACACTTTGACCTTTCTAATCAGGTCCGTCGTCAGCTTCCTCAATTCATTCATCCACTGAAAAAACAAAAAACAAAAAAAGGTTAAACTATTTATAATATAGAAATGTATATCTACAACAACCCAAATATTAAAAATACAACTTACATAATCCTGACTGCTCCTACCTGATGTAGAGACTGCAGATGGGTCAGTTGTCGGCAGCATAAATGGATGTGAATACTGCCTGTACCATTCAAGGTACCCATCCTCACACTCTCCTACGATGTCACCGATATTGGGTCGCCATCTGGTCAAATTAATACAAGCTGACTCCGGGAATCTCCTCCAAATACTGAGTGTGTCAACAGCAGATTGCTCTACAAAGTACTGTGTAGTCTTGAGTCCTCGGAATGCATCATCAGGGGACATGGACGAACGAGGAATACTCTGTACGTAGCCAATCTGACGTATACATATATCCGGCATGTATGACTCCTGCACGTTCCTATACATTATCCACCCACTGTAGATAGTCTTCGGAACTATTCCTTGTTGGCCAGGTCCAAATGGCTCTCACTTTACCTGCAAAATATTATTTAGATTATTTATAAATATCATTTTCAAAAAATAAAATGAATTATAGTCAAATGAAGCAATCATGTATCTCTAACTCGGTGAAACGGTCGAGACGCTCCCTAACCTGACGAAGACGATCTGGCACAAATGTCGGCCCCGCAAAAGATGGTGGTATCCAGTCATGTACTCTAGGCCTGTCATTACCCCCACGGATAACTCGCCCTCCCTGGGGGTAGAAAATCGGGAAATACTCGTATATCCAGGCCTGCAGTAGGGTCAAATAACCACCTAACTGAGTACACTTTGCCCTACTAGCCATCCCTAACTGACGGTATAGGAACGCAAGCATAGCAGAGCCCCACGAGTATGAACCCATATTCTCGATCCCAGCCATCAGCTCATGTACAAGTGAAACACTGCACCTCCCACCACTCTTGCCCATGAACAAAGTCGAGGCCAACAATACCCACAAGAAAGCAGAGGCCTGGGT